TTTGCAAGATGCCATGTGAGCATGCTAAATTCACCAGACATGTTGGCATTTTGTAAGAAAAATAATTTTGAGGGAGAAACAGAAGTACTGTTTTGGAAGTGATCACACGTCTTAGCATTTGCATGCAGTATCACCGAGCCCTCATGCAGCAAAAGGACATATATTAGCTACGCAAATTATGTTATATTTGAACTTCTTAATATTTCTCTTAAATACCTTTATTACTAAACTTTTAAGGAAGGAAATAATAATTTATCTACATGGTCAATCTAAGCAAATACCTAGGTATTTTCATAGGACTGCTAATGTTATTTACATTTTCTTATAACTAAAGACTTCTAATACCATGCTTCTAATTGTGGATATTGTTTCAGATGCAACTGCTTCATAGTTCAGAAAGAGCATTTCCTGGTGTTAATGAGTTGAGCCTCAAACAGCTTGAGAATACAGCAGACCTAACTTTTTGAAAAAGCGAGATCAGTTCCTTTGCTTTTCACATGATATCCCTTTTCAGGAAACTGTTAGTATTCTACTTGCTTTCAGTAGAGAAACATGGTTATTTATCCCATATTGTGAAAACTAGGACTATAATGTCTTGTATTAATTAATCAAAAATTCTGCACTCTGTTCAAAATCCATCCAGAATCTTGTAAGTTTACTTAAATGCTGGAGATATTTGCAGAAAATGTGGTTTTTGAGCTTTTGTTCTCATCATACAATGTGGCAGGTAGAGAATGCTCAGATACTGAATTATTCTGGATTATTTAGCTTTTTAGGGGTGCGTCTGGAGGAAATATAATTTAGTTGCTGGTCTGTGGCTTTTAAAGTAACTCTTGGGAAATCTCTGCTTTGCCATGCCTCCTCCCATTTTTACAATTGTTATGATGTCTGCACTTCCTTTGTTGTTGCAGCTATATCTCACTCCCATTTTCAGAGACCTTAACCTTCTAAAATTGTTTTTAATGGCTGCTTCGGCCAATGAAAAAAGGCTCAATAACATAAAGACTGCTACTATGCATTTTTTAGAATATTTTAAAGCTCTCTCAAAAGCCTTTGTGGTTATTCTCAACAATAGACTTTCAACTGCTGATCTACAAATATCATGTAATTCAAAAGGCCCTGCACTTGGAATTGCACCACTAAAGGAAATGATTACATTATATTCTTCACATGCTCTTAGCCAAGTAATTTCTGTCCTGAAGAAATCAAAACCAACTAAGTACTGGAGTTTTTTTGGTAGTGATATTCAGATTGGCTTAAGCTCTTCATAATTATTAAAAGAATCTGAAAAAGTATAGCATTACAAACAAAGTGTCATGCTTAAAAGGAAAAGTACAGGTAGCCCTCAAGTTATGACCATTTGCCCAATCATTGTTATGCTGATGCTGAACAAATGGTACTTATACATAGTCTCAAAATTGCAACTGTTCAGAACACCCCTTCCCCAGTCATGATAGAAAATGGCAACCCAATTAGACTTAGAAATGCAGGGGCACTTGAACTCATGAGCCCCTGGATCATGAGATGGGTGTATTATAAATTTGCTGAACAATTCTCCCATCTATTTTCCTTCCACGTCTGTCCTTTGGCCTTCCTGCACTGCAATGCCTCCATCATTGCCATGTTCTTGCTCCTACTGCTGACTAAGCATGCGCAGCATGGCCCTTAATGAGGCAGCTGTTGGTCACCCAAAATTTTCTGAGGTTACTCAGTTATTTCCTTACAAGACATGGGGAAGGAGACTTCACGTGGCCAGCAGTTGCATCATGAAAGGCCAGGCATAACTTATCAGCAGCAGGAATAAGAAGAGGCAAGTCAGATCGCCTGAAAGTGTAAGGCGGTGAGAATGATTGCATCTGGGCTGCTTCACACTGCAGCTCAAAAGCTTCTTACAGTTCAACAGCATGGCAAGCGACCCCGGAGCCATGTACTTTTGGTGCTGCTTGCTTACCTATTAGGAAAGTGCAGGACCAAAAGGGTAGAATTTGGGGGAAGGGGAAGATAGAGAGTTTGGGGAGTTGAATATGAGGCAGTCCCTTTCCTTGGAAGAACTAAAGCTCAGAACTGGGAAAGAATAAGCTGTGAATTGCTTAGATTGGGGTGGGTCTTCAGCTAAAGACTGATGGGATTTGAATAATGACAGCAATAAGTCGTGTCAAGATTGCTATGTGCAATGTAGTCAAGCTTTATGATCACATCACTTAACAAACATTTCAATCAACATAATAATTTAAAGGCTACCATTATAAAGCAATTTATTTAAAGCGACAGATTGAGTTGTCTCTACTGGAAATAAATATTGCATTTGCTTTAGCAGTAAATCAATATTGAAATAAACCCTTTTTTTTCACTGAAACTGAGTTGTAAAGAGCAGAATAGAAGGTGCCAGCTGATAAACCTACATACTGTATTTTTTGGACTATAAGACGCACCAGTGTATAAACGCACCAAGATTTCAAAGAGGTAAGTAAGAGAAAAGAGTTTTTTGTCCCCCCCCCCCCAGCCCCCAGGAGCACTCTGCAGGCTTCACCCAGGCTTGGGGAGGGCAAAAATGTCTCATTTTTGGAAAGAATGGACCATTTTTCACCAAAACGGGGGCATTTTTCCCTTCCTCCAACCCTGCTGAAGCCTGCAGAGTGCTTCTGGGGGGTAGGGGAAGGAAAAAACACCCCCATTTTTGCAAAAAAATGGCCCGTTTTTCACAAAAAATGGGCTGCGGGGGTGGGGCTTTGGGAGGCCAAAAATGGCTGTACTTGGTGTACAAGACGCACCAACACTTCCATGCTCTTTTTCGGGAAGATGCATTTTATACTCCGAAAAATACAGTATAATGAATTACACTAAGATCATCTTTTACTTTGGTAGCTCCCAGTCATCTTTATATTATTTAGGACAGTAAAGCAGTCTAAAAAATAATAATGATGACCTCCATTTGTTGCTCCACTTAAGTTGACTTCTTGTTGTTTGAAGATTTTCATAGAACAAATGGATACTTGCACACTCATAAACAAATATCAGCATGTTCAAAGGGCCTCCCTGTATTACAGTCTAAATTTCCTGTCTTGTGCTGTGATTAGCTTAGGGAGTTAACAGCAACCTATATACAATTGGGGAAAATGTACGAAGCTCAATGGCTTTTCACTTATTCCATTTCTTTTTTGCGTCACCAAATCTTTGGATTACTTTGTATGAATTAAGTTACAAAATCTCCTTTGTGGAAAAAGATAAAAACTTAGCTGAGGACATTCTTTCAGAAAATAATCTAGAGAATAGAAACCAACTGCATTTTCAACAAGTTCGACACTAGCAAGTATCCCATTCTCTTCTAGAGCCTGTGGTCTTTTTTTATAGTTTTCGAGAGAAACAACGTATAGTTTGGTTATAGTTTATGTCCAGAGATAGTAATAGGAATGTGTACAAGTAGATAACAATACGCAATAGAATCAAACTTGATATTTAACACTAATTAATGGACTGCTTGTATGATTCCTTAATTAGTATACCTTTATTATTTTTATAAATAATTCAAGGTGATGAACTATCCAACACACCTTCCTCCTATTTTCCCTACAATGACCTGTGAGGTAAGTTGGACTGAGAGTAAGTGATTAGCCCACCGTCATCCAGTAAGCTTTCATGGCTAAGATGGCTCTTGAACTCAGTTCTAGTTTTCTATGTTTTTTTCCACCTAGGGACAAGCTAGAGGTACACTGATTGTGTAAAGAACAAAGGATTAATAGTTAAGATGTAGCATTATGAATAAGGAGTCTCTCTTATAAATAGGGATCAAAATGGTTGGGATAATGTCACGAAATTATACTAAGAGCCGCGGTGGTGCAGTGGTTAGAATGCTATTCTGCAGGCTACTTCTGCTGACTGATGGCTGCCTACAATTTGCCAGTTCAGATCTCACCGGGCTCAGGACTGACTCAGCCTTCCATTCTTCCAAAGTCGGTAAAATGAGGACCCAGATTGTTGGGGGCATTATGCTGACTCTGTAAATCACTTACAGAGGATTGTAAAGCACTGTGAAGCGGTAAGCAAGTCTAAGTGCTATAGTGCTATACTGTTTGAACAAAATGTTAAAAACTGTTTAAATCTCTAACATTTTAATTAAATGTGCTTCAATTAAATTGCAGTTTATTATTTTGAAGCACATATAATTGCTTATAGCATAAACTTTCAGAAGGCAGATCTTCGGTTTGTATCTTCATATTACATTGAGTATGAACTTCTTAAAATAAATCACAGCAATATGTTTGTGTTAAAAGTACTAAATAGCTATGCTAATGGACCCAGAGGTTAAAACTTTATTAAAACCCGAGACCAGCAAGGAATCAGATTAGGCAACTAATACGGGAACTGTATCATAAAACATTTTAATGTGAATATCTCACATCCACAAAATAATAAGAAAAACTATTTACAAAATTTTGTTTACAATTTGGTCACTTTTATATTAGCTTTAGGCATCTACAGATGTTCTTGGGTGGAAACAGGTATGTGCCTTACTCGGGCATTTAATGGCAGATTAATTGCATGTTTTTATATGCAATGGCTCTCCCTTAGTGCACTATGCCGAAGTAAGCATGTTGTGTTTACATTCCCCTTTTATTTATGGCTCAACAACAAAAGAAACCCCAAACAATAGCACTTTCCTACCTGAACACTGCCAAGTTTCTTAATCACACAATTCTGTAAAATGTCTTCAATTACACAATTCAGTAAAATGTGTACCCTTCCATAGTTTTCCTATCCAATTTTTAAAAATCATGTATCAGCAATGGTTTAATTGTCCAAACTACCCTAAACCAAGGAAAGTATATACAACATAACTAGATTCCCCCCCCCGGATCAAGGCACTTTTCTGAGCAATGACAAAAGTTCCTTTCCCTTGCCATTATAACAAATTTAGAAACCCAATTTGTTTCTCTTTTAATAACAATAGTATTTTCTGCATATAATTCTTGAATTATGGCATTTAACATGTATAAAGGATGCTTTAGCCAGCAATATTATTACCATGAAAAAAATTCAATTGCCTTCATCTATAGAGTTGCTACATACATTCACAGTTTTCAGAAATTGTAATTAGTTTCTCCAGTTGTGCTTTTAAAACTCTAGGATTCCTCCCTCCCCCTCCCACTAAAAATAGTAAGTGCAAAGAAAAATGTCTTGTGCAACTACAACAGTTACAGAGTTATAAACTCCAAAGGAATGAGAATTTTTGTCATTCTCAGTTTCTTTCTGTTATCTATTCAGGTGTTGCTTCTAAGCTTCGTCAAGGCTTTGAAGATTCAACATTTGCAGATGATACTGGTTTATTCAATCCACATGAAACAGCAGCATCGTGGATTTGCTTTAGGTTCTCCAATGCCTCATTTTTAGCATACTTGAGAAGATCAGCTTGGCCCTGTTAAGAACAAAAGGAGTTTCATTTATCAATATTAAGTCCACTCTTCAGCCTTGATTTATCCTACAAAAGCCCCCCACCCCTTCACAAAGATGAAAAACAGATCACTTTCAGCTAAAACCCTTGAAGATAATACGGCTGGACTGCTCTGTATCCAAGTGGTCAAATACATATTTTAAAAAGACAAGAATCTTTCCCACCAAACAACTTTTGGCAAAAGCAAACTTTTGTATTTTGAGTGGAATCCAAGAACCCATGGAAACCATGAGAAATTTATTATTGCTCGTGATCCAGCAATTATAATTATCATACACTGTACATCTTGTTTTTTCAATGATGAAATTAAAACAATGTGTATTCAAACTGAGAATTCCAAAGTGCCCAGAGTCATTTTTCAGAAACACAGACCTGGACAGTCACCCACCAAAGCATACCACACATCTGAAAGCTTTTGAATACTGTATTCTCAACTGTTCTGTCTAGAATCTCACATATCTCATATATTAGGGAAAATCTCATATATTGGGAAAATTCAGCTTGCATATCATATATATAATTAATGGACCAAAATCATACCTCTAAGAAAATAAATATATTTGAAGACTGGAATGATTGACTTTACTTAACAATTGCTAAAAATGATTAAGTTCTGCAAAGTTTCTGAAATGGAGAAGGTAGAAAATGTAACCTGTCTTGAGAGACACAGTTAGGACAATGTAATCAATCACAGAAACTCCTAAGAATAATAAAAACCAATGACATTTTGATCAATAGATATTTATAGCAATTTTTAAAAAATACTTTTTCCTGAGTCAAATAATTGGATAATTAAAATGGAAAAATCAGAATCACAGGAAGTTATATTTGGCAGTTTTAGTTTGTTGTGTAAGAGATATTTATCAATAGAACTTTTACTTTAATTGCATTCCTTAATTTGTCAAAATAAAACTGCTTTGTTTTATTTTCCCATAAAACAAAGAATGTTAATTTAAAACACTGTAAAATAAATAAATTATATACTTTATCAGAATCATTTCCATAAAATTCAGTAATGGATTATTTATTTATTTTACTTCATTGCTGCAGTCATAAATCAAATTTGCATTTGCTGAAATTAACCTGGTGAATTGCATTTTGAATTTAATCTGCAAAGCATTGCAATCTAACTATTAAATACAGTGAACAAAAACATCGTTATTCCATCTGAGACTTGTTCACTTCTATTATTAGTAAACCAATTTATTTCAAAATGCTGGGGAATTAGCAAATAATTGGCTATACAATTTTAGATTGATATGGGACAACAGCTGGTAGCTCACTTTCATAGCAGAATAATTTATCTTGACCAATAATATACCAAATATTGCCACAGTTCAGAAATATCTTGAAATAAGTGATGCCTAAAATTTGGACTATGGAAATAATATGTCATTCTGCTCCTTAAATTCTTTCATGTACCCATGATACAAATTCTCAGTAAGATTGAAAGATATTGGCTTTAACACAGAAGATGGAGATGGCTGCAACTGATAGTAATATTGGATTTGAAGATGCTTAATGGATCTATGTTTTTTTTTAAGACACAGCATTTTATCATTGTAGTAACTCAGGAAAAACAACCAGTGACCCAGTGCATTGGTATGCATGCATATGCTGTATATTCATTCCTGATTCAATACAGAATAGCCGGTTGTAGTGAAGGAGTTTGCCTAAGAAGAAAGCAAGCATATTAGATAAACTGAGTTTGCACAAGTAAAATAAAAACCACTGCTTTTGGCACATAGGAAAAGATAGTCAGAGATAGACTTCTTGGTGAACTGGAAAGAGGAGATATGGTTAGGGGCTTCTATTTGTGCATTAGTCTGACTAGACTATGGCAAACTTCTTTCCAGATCAGAAAGAAATATTTTAAGTATTACATGATCCATGGTCACAAAGAAATATTTTACGTGTTACACAGTCCATGTTTGCTGGTAAACAATCTTTTTCTTTACCAAATTTCTTATAATTGTAGTTCCTGACACTCTTGCATAGGAGAATGAAATGTCCTTAGTCAATATAAGGAAGATCTTGTAGATCAGTTAAGAATATGAATCTAAATGTACCTTTCCACAGGTATTCTAGAGCATGCTACACACTATTATCAACCAAGCCATTTTTTTCTTTTGAAGACACCAACATTAACAACTTTCATAATGTTTTACAATGCACTTTTCATAGACAAGTCTGCACTTGTGAATATTTTCTGCAAAAAATGATTTTGAAATTGCTCACAAGAGTTAAATCAAAACTCTTCAGAACTAGCCATAATCATGAATAGACTGTAAATATTAAATACATTACTTGTAGTTTAAGAACTACTAAATGAATCAATATATAAAAGTACAATTTATGATCTACCTGTTCCCAGTAGTTTAACTTAATTTTAATAAATGTTAATACTAGTATTAATAAATTTTTAAATTATTTTTAAAATTCTATCACAGGTATGCAAAACCATAATTTTGTCTAATTTTATCTAACATTTCTAAGCAATTAGATTTGAATCCGATAATTATGACACAAGCAGAACAAATTCTGTGTTGGTTTATACAGCTTCTATGGGCCTGTTTTGCTTTCAATTTCCAAATGAATGGCTTTCAGTTGTCTGTGTTGACCCAGCAAAACAAAAAGCTACCAGGAAAGAAAGAGTTCATTAATCAGTAAAATGACAAAATAAACCAAATTTCATCAATTATGTTTTGTTCCCTACAGGAAACAGAATCATATTCAGAATCTTTTAAAACACTATTTCTATGGGCTATGTTGGAACAAAATTCAAAACGTTAAGTGTTTCATTATAGGAAACAATGCTTCTGCTCCTTCACTTTTTACAAAAATGGGAATTTCTGCAGAGTGCTCCCACCAGTCAATCTACAGAGAAAGTGACCAAGGAATGATTTAAATATTCTAAATTCCAATTGCAAGCAACAAAAGCAACAGCTAAGCAAACTTTTTGCAGTCTTCTGCAAAATCACATCACTCAATTAATAGCAATGTATTATTTTGAACAAAATTTATAAACAGCACAACTATAAAAATGCACTTTGCTAGTTACTAGCTTCTCTACAATTGGCAGCCTATCTACAAAGCTCAACAGACAAGCAAAAAGAATATAATTGTTTATTGACCAATGTACTTTCTAAATCTTAATGACCTGAAGGATATAACTGGACTGGAAGTTAATTGTGGAATACTAAAACACTCAAAATAATACTCCATTATTGTCCTAAAATCAAAACAAAATGCTTTATCATCAAATGTTTGAGCTTAGAACATTTCAAGCTCAGAACATTTTGCACATCCCTCCAATCCAAAAATTGAATACCACCATGTCTCTTTCAAATTGATCATATTGCAGTATCAATGAGCATGTGCTTATAAAACATGCAGCAATCTTAGAACTATTTAGGAAGTTCCCATTTCTACATAGCAGATCCCATATTATAGGAAACAAAAACTTAAGTATAGATGGATTGTAAATATCGAGGAAAAATTATTCAAATTAAGCTAGTTTATCATTACAAACAATATAATATGTACAAAGTAAATTATGTGTACTAACCATTCTCAAAAGCTCTGCAACAGTAGCAGAATAATCTTGAAAAAAGGTTAAAATGGAAGTATTTTTTAAAAACTGAAATAAGGTTATATGGTGGAATAGAAAGATAAATAGCATGAAATGTTATATTTTAAAAATAGATTCCACTATTCAACGCATAGATGCCTTCGGAAACAAATGAAATTTTTGTCCATAAAAATATACTGAATTTGATGATAAATGCAGAGAAGCAGCTGCACTAATTTTGTCACACTTATTTCCTTTTGAGTGAATCAAAGTCACTCCAGATGACAAATGGGAACAATTTTGCATTATAATCGTATGTTTCAATTTTTATTTTAAAAAAGCTCACTTTACAGTATGATTTTATATTCAGCCAGAACTTACAAGGAAAAAAGTCCTATAGTTAAGCAGATAGAGAAGCATGAAGCAAGCATATTCCACCACTAAATAAGAAAATCTGTTAATATTTTAACTTCTGTGATTAAATCATTAAAATCTATTGATGATTTTTGCTAAAGACTGAAAAAGTACTTAATTTCTCTCTTAACTCTGTTACTGTTAATGCAGCAGCTGTTACTTCTACTTTTTTAAATGTAAGATAGCTTTGCAGTACCTTATCACTTCTCAGAAAAGTTAGTCTTCATCCTTCCCGGCTTCTATTAAATGGAAGCTTTCATTATAAAGGGCTCCCTATTGAAATCACTTTGTATTTTTATTTATTTATTTTCTTTTTAATCCCATATTTATTACTTTATAAATAACACAAGGCAGCAAAGATGCATAATACTTCTTCCCCTTCCTATTTTCTTTCACAGCCCTGCAAGATGGGTTGGGCCAAGATAGCCACCTTTCAGAAATGCATGACTGAGGAGAATTGCTGCTCATCCCTCCTTGCAGGAATATATCACTTAAACAGGCAGATACTTTCCCATTATGTTAATTATGCTCAAGTCATTATTTCCTTTATCTCAATCCTTTTCTTCCTCAAAATATTTTCAAAAGTCACCTCAAATATTCAAAAAATATTCAATTGATGCTACTACACATACCACACCTACTGTTATTTACATAATAGTAATATTCTGTAAATTTCTGCATCAATTGTTCTTTTGAAACATCAAATTATCTCGATAGAATATTTGACATGTTATTCTTTTATTTTAGTAACAAATTAAAGGGAATAATTTATGATAGAAAAAAACTTCAATAAACAAATGTTACCTTTAAAATGGTAATATTCCAGGTAAAACTCTCCACTGCTTTTTGTAGTTTTCTCTCTTTCAATCCTTCCTTTGCTCCTATATTTTGTAAGTTCTCATGGAACTCCATTGCTGGGGAATAAGACATATTTAAACCTTCTTATTCAACTTTCAATGCTTTTACTATAAGATTTTTTTTTGTGCTAAAAAGGAAACACACTTATTAATTTCCTATCAATCGATGGCTTATCAAAATTAGAAAATATATTAAAAACAGGAATAAAATCAAATTATGCTATTATTCTAAATATACTAAAATAATTTGTTTTTAATGTTTTATATATAAAGGGATCTCAGCATGTTTTCTTAGTTCAGAAACTAGAAACACCGCAAAAGAATTCATATTCAGTTAATCCTTGGTTGAGTACTACCTCAATCAGTGACCATTTGCAAAATCATTTTTGGAACATTGCAGTATTTACAACAAAATGTCTTGGCCTGAGAAGAAAAGCATTGGGCAGTTCTAATCAGTTTCAGATAGCAAGATGAGTAGTAGGAGGGTTCTAATCAATTAAGATCGCAGACCTCAGCTTGTGAATTTTCAGTTAGCACTGTTTAGGAAAGCATTCCACTGCAGAGGAAAGCAGCTCTGGAAGAGATGGTTTGTTTAACCAATATCTTTGCCCAGCAGCAACTAGTGACTTCATAATGTCTCCCTCCCTCTGTTTGCTTAGCAATTATTTTGCTTAACATCGAAGTCCCTGGAAGGTATTACAGATTAAATGAGGAGAGGGTGTATACAGTTCTCTCCAGGAGGCTCTCCGACAAGACTACTTTTAAAGTAAAATGATAATATTTTATCTTTAATTGCATTTAAGGCATTGCGTCTTTGCATTGAAATTAGTGGCTCTGTATTGGTAGTAGCCACAGGGCCCCATATCACTTAACTGGGGACCTCAGCCCCTGTTAACTTCTTAGCCAAATTTAGCCCAGTATGTGGATCTAGTTCTAGCTGCCCAGTATGATAAAGAACTATTCTTGGAGTCTCAAGAACTCCAAGTCAGCTTGAAATATTGAATTTGTGTCTGAAATCATACAGTAGTCTCTTCACCTGCAGAAAAAACACACACAATTCTCTGCCTGAGTTGCCCTTCTAAGAACAAAGAAGATAGATTGCTTAATACATACTGAAAAAAGTAACTGAGTTTCAGCTAAGAATGTTTTATTTGTATAGGCTATGTTGATGGAAGACAGAATTCTCAACGTATTGAGTATATGGTAGCAATAACAAAGTAATACAGAATAATAATACATCCAACTTGCCCCCTTATCCATTCTTCTATGACAAAAAAGTAAAATGTGATTTGATTTTATCATGCTATATTTTGAAATGCCAATCAATGTTGCTTATATTACTAAAGAAAACAATTGATACAAATCTTAAAAAAATTTTGCTTGTGCAAAGCAAAATGATAGTGAATATGCTTTCCGTTTCAGCACCAGGCTATGTACAGAGCTCATATATATTTGGATTTTATAAGTTGAGAGCATCAAGAGAAAAACTAAATAAGTCTCCATCTTTTACAATACTACCATAGATCAGTTTATTAATGAAAATCATGTCTTAACCACAGCATAGAATCATCCTATAGCCTTAGCAATCTTTTTTATCTAAAAAAAGCATATATTAAATTAAAAAATAGTAATACCGCCAAATGAAATATAACTTTTAATACACAATAAAATGTGTTTTCTATAGAAACTATTCATTGTTATGCGATTTCATGTACATTCAGAAATAGGCAGATGGGCACACGCATGCAGGTCACAGGTATTTCTGGGGACAATCTTTACTATATGCATAGAAAGGTTGGGCAGCCTTTTGTCCAGCAAACAGTTAACCAGAGCCTTTACAAAAAACTGTTGTCATTTAGCTGCAGCTACTGAATGGAGGTTTTGAGCGATAACAAAAGTAAGCTCAGCAACGATTGATATGTGTGAATTAATCCTTCAAATATGGAAAATGAAAATAGCATTCATTTGCCTCTTTTTCACTGACATATATGTGTCGACTGCTAGCAAAAACACAGAAATTCTTACTATACAATACAGAGTTATAATCTGTATTAGATTAAATATACTGTTGCAGAGTTAAATGTTTGGGTTAAATTAAATTTGGTATTACATAATTCTTAAAAAACTAGTAAAATTACATTTGTATAATCATGCATGCTAAAATGTAGCCTGTTAAGAAATAAATACATCTCGACATGCAACCACAACAGAGCCCAAAATTTATGTTGCTAAGCAAGACATTTATTAAGTGTTTTGCCCCATGATCTTTCTTGCCATAGTGGTTAAGTGAATCACTGCAGTTGTTAAGTTAATGACACAGTTGTTACTTGAATCTGGTTAACCCATTGATTTTCCTTATCAGAAAATCACAAAAGGTTATCACATGAACCTGGGACACTGCAAGTCATAAATATGACACAGTTGCCAACATTTGAATTTTGATTACAGAGATCCTACAATGGTCGTAAGTTACTTTTTTCAGTGATATTGTAATTTTGAACAGTCACTAAATGAACTGTTATAAGTCAAGGACTATCTGCACAAGAGAAAGTGAAAATAACAAAGGAATACCTAATTTATATTTTATCAACTAAATTTAAATCTTATAAAATCTGGTACAATTGAAAAACATGTTTATTTTTAATAATAGTTGCTGAAAGAGTATCAAGCTTCATATTATTTACTTTTTTATTTGTGACATCCTATTTGTGGAACACTTCTATATAATTTGCTGTGTCAGGTTTCTATATTTCTTCTATTTTATCTAGATAGTTACATATTTAGTTATATTTATTTTACTGTAGTATTTATTCTGTATTGTAGTATTTTATTATTGTTTAACTGCTCTGATAATTGATTTCTAAGACATAGTTCAGAACCAATCAATCAATTAATCTATCAATCAATCAAAAGTAAGTTGTTTGGCTAATTGTTTGATAATGAAATATGATTCATTTCAAAGTAGCATATCTGTAATTACCTTTACAAAGAAGTACTCAATGGTTCTTAAGGGGACCTTGGGCACAGCTATTATACTACAAGGAGATGTACAACTCTCTGAGTTCCCCTTGTATTTACTGTGGCAAAATATGCAAGGTGAGATAAATAACTACAAAGGTTCTTTCTAGAGGATTTCATGATACTAAAATCAATTCATTAATTATTTTAATGTGCTTTTATCATAACTCCAAGGCATTATTATGTAAAACTAACCATTTATTTAAAATGGGAAGGATGTCTGGCATAATAAACAATATGTAGAAATATTTAAGATTCCAGTATGTTTTTACTACTTGGTTCAATGGCACAAACACACCAACCTGAAGCAATTAATGGCAAAGAACAAAAATTACAAAAATTACATATGAAGAGAACAAGTTTGCTTTCTTGCTGTTTTTACAAAAGAAAAATGTTACATTATAGTTAGAACAAGTGTAAATGAAGACTATAATTTAATAATCCGATTTGAAGTTCCCTTCCAAACAAAATTTAGTATTAAGGTCTAATTTAGATACAATATTTTGGTTTCAGATACCAAATAGAATAAACCATCATTAAGAATGCAGTATAAATGTTTAAACAAATTCCAAAGTTATTACATAACTTGAAACAGATGAGTCACAACATATGTGCTTAAAGAGGAAACATGAGTATTACAAATGTGTGAATTTTTTACTATGCACTATTGAAAATGCCTTTTCATAATGTAGCTGGCAAAGACCTAATGTCTTTATATATGACTCATTTTTTCTGTAATTTTGTATAATTACATACATATTCTCAGCTATGCCAGAAAAAGTTTGAAAAAATATTTTTTTCATTGAAGGGACACAATGGAACATAGAAAACATGTCCATACAACAAAATTTAACCAATGATCCAAAGAAAATGCATTTTCCTGATTATAAACATTGAAAAATAATTGCCATTTTACTTATTGTTTCTTATTAGTGGAATTCTATATGAGCTACAAAACTGGTAATTTATGCTGTTACTCACTGTAATGTTCTGCATGCAAAAATAGCCAAAGAGTGAAGAGATACTTTCTTAAAGAAATATGATGTGTATATTAGTAGTGTTTATCCAACAACTATTTCAGAGTATCATCTACTGTCTTTCTCATACAACAAAAGGTTATTCAAATATTAGCATTATTTCTATAGCAGAAAATCCTACTACAACACAAACAGCAAAATGCCTTGATAGTTTACACAATTGTTGTCCCCCCCCTCCAAGTTTGTGTAATTGTACAGTGACTTACTGTAAATCTGGGTTGCATATTAAGCTAGGCCCTAAAATGTTCTCACCTTCTTAAAATTATTTCTTATAAGAAAAAAAGGAAAAACAAAAGCAAATGGTTAAAATGAAATCTAACAAACTTCAAAGTCATACTGCCAATTGCTTTTTTCCTGAATGAACCGTTCATCCTTGTTTCTTACACATTAATGACTATTATCTATATCTTATGCAATTTCTTAATTGTGTATCACAAATCAATATTTCAAAGAAAACAATATCCCTTTCTTTTCTATAAATTTATCAATAGCAGTAATAAGACAATAACTTAAAGATAAACTACAGGTAGTCCTTCACTTGCAATCACAATTGAACCCAACATTTCGGTTGCTAAGTGAAACAGTTGTTAATTGAGTTTTGCCACATTGTACAACCTTTTTTGTCACAAATGTTAAGTGAATCACTGCAGTTTCTAAGTTAATAACACAATTAAGTGTATCTGGCTTCTTCACTGAGTCTGCTTGTCAGAAGTTTCACATGACTCCAGGTCACTGCAACATCATAAATAAAACTGTCAATTGCCAAGCGGCTAAATTTTGATCATGTAACCATAGCGATGCTGCAAATGTTGTAAATATGAAAACTGTTATAAGTCACTTTTTTCAATGCCATTGAAAATTTGAATAGTCACTAAATGAACTGTTGTAATCTGAGGACTATCTGTATGACCATATATGACAGCAAATATGGTGGAGAAATGTTACATAATGTTAAAGGATTAATATAAAAGAATGAATCTGGGTTGTTCCAAGAGTTTCAACATTAAAGAATCTAACAAATGAGTGTATTGCTACAATATTCCATACAAATCATTCTTTCATATGAACCAAATTCATAGTTGAAAAAGTCATGATACATTGTGCAGTGTATACAAATTCTTTACACTGTACAGTTCTTCAGCTTAGTAGAATATATAACATAATAGAATATATAAGCCACCCAGGGTAGCCCCACAGAGAGAAGGGTGGCTAATAAATTTAACAAAATAAAAATAAATAAAATATGTAGCAGAATAATTGCATGCAATGCAAAATAATATCCTTACCTGCTTTTTGGCACTGGACTATTTTATCATATACAGTATCTGCATTTTCTGTCAGAATCTTTATCATATTAATCATCTGCAAAAACAAAGTTAGAGTTTGTCAAAACTGAAGTGTAAATATAAAAATCGACATTAACCCATTAAAACCAGCCATCTGCCCTGATTGGCAACAGATCTCTAGCATCTGTACAGCTAAAGATGCAAATATTAAATGTTGGTATATATAATGATACTGTATATGCCATTGAAAAACGACTGCACCTTAAACAGGTTTACATAGATTAAGGAGAGGAGGAAAGGATGAATTTGATTTTTTAAAATTCTTTGAAGTAGCTAATTTTATATAATTTGATTCTTTTTGCCCCATTTATCTTAAATCTAAAAAATGTTGATGTGCTTTTTTGTTTAAAACATTCATATATTCATTTCTATGTCCCAAAAATTGAAAATCCATATGATTCTATCATAATTAATATCATAACAAAAAGTGTTGTTTTATTTTTAATTATCTATAGTTATTTATTTTTTAGTATATTTGCTTGTGTAAAACATTGAGTTATGCCCTTTATATCACTGCCACAGATTCAATTAAAAAATTCAGGAAGCAACAAAAACACAGAAAAGTTTTTGAAATGTTTTAAAACATTTAATGAATGAAAGAAAAGTAAGTATCAAAAGAATCCTATATGTAATCAATTTTAACATAGACCTATTGAACCATCAGAGTTAATAACTAGTTTTGTGAATCAGCTCTAAAGATTCACTGTAGTAATAATCGTTATCAAAAAGTTACTACTAATATTTTGAACTTCAAATCTGAAAATAAATTACAACCACATTTTCTAAAATAACCCAAACTGAACTACTTAACTGTCGGCATTTTTCTCTTAAAATGTTGTATGTACATATTTTTCACAGTCTCATTTTCGAGGCTACTGGAGCAAAATAAAAGTGCTTTTTTTCTGAATGTTGTGCCCTTGGAATTAATTTTCTATTCATTTTCACTGTATCAAAGTTATCTTAACTGTCAGTATACGCAGGTTATATCTTTCACAAAAAAACCTCTCAAGGTGTATGTATTTTTTGATATCAACAATTGGAATTTCAAAACTGGGTTTTAGCTGTGCGGGTATAACTTTCTGCACATTAGAAAAATATCCCATTTAAGAAGACTGTTCTTGAGTGGAGAATGACGTTGGCTTACTTGAACAATCATTCTCTAGGCGCTGCGGAAGAGTATAAGCATGGGTTAAATTCTGTCTATCTGTCTGAGTTGATTTTCTTAGATACGTTTCCTGCTCCTAATTGAGGTCTAGTTTAAAAATGAAGGTGTGATCCTGTAGAGGATGTGTAATGGTGTGACTTCCAGTAGCTTGTCGAACTCTGGACTGTGTTGCAGAACCCTGGGTGGGTTGGACTCTCACGCAGTACCCAGAGAACAACCGTTCAGGTAAGCCAACGATAATTCTCCTGTGTGCTGCTTGGAGAGTTCAAGCATGAGACATATCCAAGCTATGATGCACCGGGGTGGGAAGAAGGTCTGTCCAGGGTTTGTGGCTTGGCAACTACCCTTTGTAATACCCTTCTCCCAAACGAACCCTTGGCTGCAGCAAAGAATCAATCCAATAAAAGGGAGTTGGGGACGACCATGTCGCCGCCCTGCATATTTCTTCGATGGACACTTACTTTGCCCAGGCAGCTGTAGTTGCAGTGCTCCTGGTGGAATGTGCCATTATATGAGCAGGAGCTGCCCTTGCCCGATGTTCATAGGCCAGGTTGATACAGGTGCGCAACTAACACCCGATGATAGAGAAAGACACTTTTAAGCTCATGGATTCTGGTTGAAATGATACAAAGAAAAATACTGATCGCTGGAAGGAGGCCGTTCATTTGATGCAGCTGCATACTGCACGACAGACATCTAATTTATGCCAAGACCTTTCTCTACGGATGAGAGCAAAAAATTGAAAGGATTACCTCCTCCTGCACGCTATGAAAATAGGAGTTGATTTTTGGAAGAAATGTGGGGTGTAAATGAAGGATGACCCGATCAGTGTGGAGGAGGCACAAATCTTATCTGACCGACAGTTCTGCAAGCTCCGATATTCTCCTTGCAGATGTAATGGTAATGAAGAAGGCAGTCTTTAATGTCAGGTGTCGAAGGCTAGCTGAAGGCTTGAAGGGAGCCGAAGTCAGGGCCTGTAATACAATGGTAATATCCCAAGTAAGGTATTGATGGAAGACAGGTAGATGGAGATTAGAGGCGCCCGTTAGAAACCTCCGAACCTGAACATTCTGGGCAAGGGAATTAGAGGAGTCTCTTGACAAGATGGTGGCAGGGCTGCGACAGGATGCAGAAGGGTATTGGGAGCTAATACCTTGTTCAGACCCCTTGTAAGAAGTCCAAAAGATGTGGAATGGGCACTGAGGTGGCCTCGATGTTAGTCATCAGGCACCAGGAAGAGAAAGTGACCCAAGTAGCATTATATATTCAAATAGTCGAGGGGTTCTTGGACACTTGGATGGTTCAGATGACCTTGCCAGAGAAGCTGTTCTTTCTCAGGAAATACCCCTCAAGTGCCAGATGGCCAACTGGAGCCACTGGGAGTCTGGATGAATGATGGTCCCGTAACTGAGAGAGATCTGGTCCTGAGGTATTCTTCAAGGCCTGCTCACAGAGATACTGACAAGGTCCATGTACCAGGATCTCCTAGGCCAGTGAGTTGCCACCAGCAGAAGTTCCGCACCCTCTGTCAGGAGCTTTTGGAGAACCTGAGGAATGAGAGGGAGGGGTAAGAAGGCATAAAGAAAGCCCAGGAAACAGTGGCATCGCATCCCCGTGGAGAGTGGTAGCGGGAGAAGAACCTTTGGAGCTGAGCGTTATCTGGACTGGCAAAGAGGTTGACTGCTGGAAGGCTGAACCTCCATGTCATCTGGCAGAAAATGGTTGGATGTAGACGCCACTCCGAGTTGTCTATGGTTGTCCAGGTCAACAAATCTGCTGTCATGTTGTCCACTTCTGAGATGTGATCCGCCTTTATTGACGCCAGATGATGTTCTGCTCACCTCCAGAGTGACTCTGCCTCTGCCATGTGAGCCTTGGAACGAGTTCCGCCCTGGTGGTTGATGTGGACTTTTGTTGCAATGTTGTCTATGAGCAACAAGACATGTTGACCCACAATGTCCCTCCTGAAGTGGCAGAGGGCGAGACTGGTAGCCCTCAACTCCAGCCAGTTGATGTTGTGGCCGAGTTCCTCCAATGACCACTTAACCTGTGTTACTTGTGCCTGTACAGGGCGGGGCATAACCTTTTCCTAGGGGGTCACAGCAACACTTGTAATAACAACACAAATAATTCATACACCATTCGAAAGCCCATCAAAAACTGAGTTTATTGACACGATTTAATAGTCAGTATGACCACCATTAGCCCTTCGAACAGCATTCAAACGAGGTGGATAAGAACACAACAAATCTTCAAACAGTTCCGTTCGATTTTCCAGATTTTTCAACACAGTTTCCAAATTCATTCTCAAAGTTTCAACCGAAACAAATTTAACATTTAATAGCTCATTCAATTCAGTTTTTTATGGGCTTTAAAATGAGGTGTCGATATTCGGTTGAAACTTTGAGAATGAATTTGGAAACTGTGTTGAAAAATCTGGAAAATCGAACGGAACTGTTTGAAGATTTGTTGTGTTCTTATCCACCTCGTTTGAATGCTGTTCGAAGGGCTAATGGTGGTCATACTGACTATTAAATCGTGTCAATAAACTCAGTTTTTGATGGGCTTTCGAATGGTGTATGAATTATTTGTGTTGTTATTACAAGTGTTGCTGTGACCCCCTAGGAAAAGGTTATGCCCCGCCCTGTAGATGGGCACCCCAGGCATACAGGCTGGCACCTGATGTAATGACAAGGAGGTTGGGTTCCCTGAAGAGACAGCCTTTCATAATGGCTTGGGGTTGCCACCACCTGAGGGACCTTAGGACTTTCGGGGGGAAGCTTGACTTTCCTCATGGAGTTACTGACGTACCACCGCTAGATGGGTAGGAGGAACCACTGAAGTTCCCTTGCATGTAGCCATGCCCAGGGGACCATTTGGATGCACAATATCATTTTTCTCAACAGTTGAAAAAGAGTCGCTATGGAAAGTGATATTGAAGTTCAGGCTTGTTGTATCAGGGCCCTGAGGCTGTGCAAGTGGTCTGGTGAGAGAAAGACTCTGCAACTCTCCATGTCAATGACTGGGCCGAGATGGAGGATCTTGGTGGTTGGCTCCAGGTGGCTCTTTTCTCGGTTCACCGAGAACCCATGGCATTGTAAGGTGATTTGGACGTCTCGGTGAGCCTGGACTGTGGACAATGAGTGAATAAGTATGTTGTCCAGATAACATTGGAGTCTGATTGGATGAACATGAAGGTGGGCTGCTATGGCAGCTAGAAGCTTTCTGGAGGTCCTGGGTGTGGAGGAGAGACCAAATGGAAGAGTCTTGTAGTGGTAGTGCTTGCTGTCATAATGGAATCTGAGGTACCTCCTGTGTGACCAGCGGATGGGGACATGCAGGTATGCTTCTTTCAGATTTATTGATGTCAACAGATCTCTCTGTCTGATGCAGCCCAGGATCGTCTGGAGGGAGTGCATTTTGAAGTGTTTGTAGGTCACATGTAGATTGAGATTTTTTAGATCTAAGATGGCCCTCCACTCCCCCCTGAGCTCTTTGAGACAAGAAATAGGATTAAGTAGAATCCCCTCCTTTCCTGCTCTACAGGAATGTTTATGGCGTTTGGGTCTAGCAGGTGTAGGATCTAGAGTCAGTCCCTGCCTGACTGTGTTGAGGACCCACAAGTCCGTGGTGATGATCTGCTCCCATTGGCTACCGTATAGCTGCAGACGCCCACCAATGGGAGGAATGCAACAGTGGGCATTTATTCCTTCGATAGGGTCGATTATTGCCCCCGCAAGAGCTGATGATTGGCTGGCTGCTGCCTACCCCGATCCCTGATTGACAACCTATCCTGGTTATGATCATTTGATGATCCTACCTGGGGGTAGGATCTCTGATAGGAGGACCCA